GGAGGTGTTGGGAACACTCCAGTTCTGGTTCCTGCTGCTCCCACAGCAGCGCTGTCCCTGGGATGGGCAGGATCCCGCCAGGGGACACGGCCAGGACAGCCCCAAAGTGACCAAAGGGACATTCCAGAGCAGGAATGTGACCCCTGCTCAGGTATGGGAGAAAAGGGAAAGGAGAAAGGGGGGTGCTCGTGAGTTACATTTGCCTCGCAGAACAGTCCTGACTCCCCAGCGAGGGTTGGGCATCACCTGCAGAGGGCAAGCGGAGAATTTCAGCCTTCTGCGTTTCCTCTTTTTCCCTTTTCTTGCGCTCACGCTCCCCCTGCTTTCACTTTATAAACTGCCTTTATCTTTTTCCCCGAGCGTTTGGGGGATTTTCCCTGTTTTTAATCCCTGCCTGCCCTGCTGGGAAGGGGAGAGGTGGAGTAGCTGGGTAAGTGGTGTCCAGGCAAGGTCAGCCCAGCCCAGCTCCATAGAACATGATCCTTCTGGGTCAGGAGCGGGGCTCAGATGAAGCACGGAGCTCTGCGGGAACTCTCGGCCTCTCTCAGCTTTGGATTCAGCCAGAAACGCCTCTTAAAAAAAAAAAAAAAAAAAAAAAAAAAAAAAAAAAAAAAAAAAGAGCAAAACTCTCCCACAATTGGGCGGCGAGCGAGGAGGAGGGAGGTTGGCTCTGAGCGCCAGAGCTGGCCCGACACAGACACCTAGTGACAGCAGGGCACAGGGCTGCCTGTCCCCAACCCCTGCAGGCTGAGGACAAAGGGGCCCTGGGCACCCCAAGCACGCAGAGAAGGAGGGATCAGGCAGGGATGCAGCAGGAGGGAGCTCACTCCCAGCCTGGGGCAGCATTTATGGATATGCATTTACCAGGAATGAAATATAAAGTGAAACCCCAACTGTAAAAACCTTAATTGCATCATTTGGAATATTGAAGGGCTGAGAGAATGAGAAAAACCCACAAACGCAAAGACACCAAATATGTTTTAAACGTCATTTTGGCTGCAGCATATAAATAACAAGAATTACTAAAATTCAGCAAAATGACAGCTGCTTATTTGCAGCAAATGGAATGCAGAAATATATGCATTTGACTCCTCCCCTGAAAACACCATCAGCCTTTTTAAGAGCTTTTAGTAAGTAGTCGTACATAATCCTAATAATAATAATATTTCACCTTGCCTTTCTTCTCTGTTCAGTCCC